GAGCCCGGCAGGATGCAGGGGAATGATTCCCTCTGCCTAATCCCCTTGCAAGGTTAACACTGCGCCGGGACTGCCAGGGAACGACTAGCTCAGACTTTCCCCGCAGTGACGATTTCTTAAAAAACTAAACCATACGACGTTAATTAAAACCTTAGCTCAGTATTTTCCCCTCGAATTTACACTGGGAACCGTCCTCTAAAATATTAGCCAGCAGACAACCTCCCAAAAGGGAAATCTACAGTACTTGGGCACTGCATTGCTATATTAAAAATACCTGAAACACAAATGTATATCTCCTCTGAAACACAGGAAACAAGAGTTAGCAGAGATTTGTTTCGCTTAAATCAGGCATAAATTACACCTACTGGAACCAAGTACGTTAATAATGAAGGTGCCTTAAAACAATAAAATTGAAATATGGACCTTGGCAAGTTTGATCAGATTCTGAACTTGCCCCTCTGCAAAAGCCAGTGAGTTAGCGAAGGACAGGACTCCTGCAGTCATTCCCCACCTGAACTTTGCACTGCAAAGTTTCTTTGGTGAAAGAGGCTCTTCCACCCCCACAGACTAGAAAGGGCAGCTCTGGAAAGAAGCCCCATTCAGAGCAGTGGCATAATTTACTAGCAAGTAAATACGTGTTAAAAGTTGTATGATTTAAAACATCGGAATGTAGCGTTTTCTTTCAGGGAAAAAATGTGAAATGATTAAGATAATAGTCCCAGGAGAATTGTCCCGGGGAAAAAAAAATAAAGTTTAGGAGAATCCTATAACAGCTGTGGAAATGAGGCTATCAATTTTAATCTGTGTGATACATGTACAGTATGTGATTATGTGTTATTATGCCGTGTGTTGTTAGAGCACTGAGAGAAGGAGGAAAGGAATCTTAAACTTGATTTATTGTAGATGTTGAGATTTCCCTTCCAAGCTTTTACTAGGCGATGTCTGCACACGGGAACCTGCTGGAGGAAGCAGCCGAAAGGGCTCCCTGCTTTTGGAGCGGGGAGGGTGCAGAGCCAGGGAGGGCTCTGTCCCTTTAAGGTCACTGCATGCTCTGGTATGATGTTTAGGAGGACAGCTGGGCAATGGCCATCTGACTGACTTCGGCTTGACATCTGGGAGCCCACTGGTGTGTGGCACGCGAATCGCTTGATGTCGCTATTTAAATGCAAATTTGTGGGGGATCATTGAAGCCTCACCCCGTAAATTCACACAAAAGGAATACTTCACACACTATAAGGAGGAGGATCGTTATTTCGGGAGGTCTTGGCTGCAGCATGCAAATCTCATTCAAATCCACACACCTTCTGCATGACTAACTTTCCTAAGGTCAGGACTTGGCGCTACCACGCGTCCCACAATGAGCCCGGCCAGAACTGAGAGGAGGCTCGTACCTGCCCGCGGAGACACGCTCGTTCCCGAGCCTCTCCTTAGTGAAAGGTGTTCCCAAGGAAAAAAAAAAGGGGGGGGGGGGGTT